CCCCCCCCCCCCCCCCCCCCGCACCTGGGCCAGCAGCAACCATGTTTCGCGCGGGCATTGTCCGACTCAGCCAGCAGTACCACAGCACTCTGCCCATCCGTGGCCTGGCTACTCTCTCCGGCAGCGCCAGTGGCGGCAGCAGCAGTGCGTCCCCCGGCTGGCGCCCCCTTTTGATGCGCCCCCGCGCCACATGACGCCTGGTTCTCACCCCATCTCCCTGCGCTGCCCCGCCCCGTCCCCCACCTGCTCCGTGTCCCGGCCCCTCGGCCTCTCGTGCTCTGTCCGCCTCTGCTGGGACACGCCAGACACCGGCCGCCGCATGACCGACGAGGAGTTCCAGTCCCTCACTCCGGCCATGTACAACACCTGTGCGCCCGCCCGGTCCTCGCACGGATGCCCCACTCCATGTGTGTCGCCCGCCGGCCCGCTGCATGGCCACTGACCCTCCTGCTGCACCATCCCCCTCCCCCCCGCCCCCGCCCCCGCCCGGCCGGGATGCACAGTCGCGCCCTACTACCACAACAATCGCCCTCTGCCCAACCACCTGCTGTCCCTGCTGGAGAGCAGCACCAATGTGTCGGAGCGTGCCTCGCCCGAGGAGCTGAGCTCCGTGGCCGCGGCCATGTTCCAGCGGCTGAACCTCTCGGATGACGCGCAGCAGCAGCGCACCGGGAGCTTCCCCTCGTTCAAGACCACCCGGCCGGACATCTTCGCCGCCCGGCCGCGGGTGACGTCGCTTGCTGTGCGCGATGCCGGCCACCCGGCGCTCGGTGGGGCCCTCTCCGATGAGGACGTCCCCTCGGATCGGGACACGCGGCAGCGCGATCGCGGTGCGGCCGGCGTCTCGGCGTCGGCCTCGGCGTCGGCCGACCAGAGCGTGGACATCTTCAATGCCCTGTTCCCGTCGGACAGCAGCGACGGCGATTCGGCCATCCTGGCCGGCATCGCATCGACCCCGGCCGCCTTGAAGTACGACTCCTACTCGATTGGGCAGCCGATGGGCTCGGCCGCGGCCAAGGGCCAGGCCGCCGGCTCGGCGTCCGGCGCCGGCAAGGGCGCCGGCTCGGCCTCGCCCCAGGCTGGCCCCGGCGCGGCGGGTCGCCTTCCGCTGAACATCCTGTCGGTGGCCGGCCGCTTTGAGGAGCCGCAGTTCCTGTCGGAGCTCCCCAGTCACGACAGCATCCCGCCGCAGGCCCTGGAGCAGATCCACCAGCTGGCCTGCTCGCAGGAGATGACCCGGACCCACATTTCCAACTACCGGAACCAGTCGATCCTGCCCCGGAAGATCATGTTCCCTGGGCACCACACCGAGTGGTTCCCGGGCAGCCTGCCGGAGGCCCTGGACAATGGCCGGGATGTCCTGATCACCCCGCCCAGCGAGGCCCTCGAGCCGGAGTACCGTCGTCTGTTGGATTTCGACACGGTGCCGAACCACAACCCCATGCTGACCTATGCGCAGCAGGTGCGCGCCGGGCCGTGTGGCCACCTTTTGCTTGGGCTTCTCCCCCTCCCCTTTGCACCCGCGGCCTCTTTCGCTCGCCCGCGCGCCCGCGCGCCCCCTGCTTCCCTCCGGCAAATAGGCCGACGCCGGCATGCAAGGCCGTGCTCTGGGGCTCTGTGTGGCTGTCCGGCCGTGAGCTGACATGTGTGCCTCCCCTTCGCCATGTGCTGTCGCCCCCCCTCCTCTTTTCTTTGTCAACGTGCCCATATGATGTGGCCGGCGCTCTCCC